CTTTCTTTCTTCTTTCTTCTTTCTTTCTTCTCCTCTCTTCATCTTTCTTCTTTCTTCTCCTCTCTTCTTTCTTCTCCTCTCTTCTTCTTTCTCTTCTTTCTTCTCATCTCTTCTTCTTTCTTCTTTATTTCCCTCTAATCTTCTTTCTTCTCTCCACTCCTCCATGCAGGAGGGCAGATAATAGCACTCCAAAAGTGGCTCAGGCTGCGATGGGGCGCCCTGAGGACATTCAGAGCAGGTTCCCTGCCTCTCCTCATTGTCCCATCGCTGGCAGAACGTCTCCTTACACTGCTGAGCCCTTCACCCCAGTGCTTGAATCCTTCCTACAGAACGAGAACAATGTGAGCACCAGCGAGACGGATACTTGGGCTCTGCCAGAAGCAGGGGGTAATCAGCACGGTAATTAAATGTGCAAATAATGGGAATTTAGGAGTTATAACAAAAGGCAGAGGAGTAATTTGGAGGGGCTTGGAGAAATTAGGAAGACAGAGCAAAATCTAATCAAGCAGAAAATAGCCTGACTGGAGCCAACGGCTGGAGGCCAAGGCAGCCAACATCAGAGTGCTCCTCCCCTGGCATCTGGGGGTGTCCCCAGTGCCATTTAGGGGCAGAACAAGAGGTTTTGGAGAGATCTGTTCCTTGCTTGGTGAGCAGGGCTGGCTGCAGGCTGGGTTCCTGGGAAAAGTTCCCAGATCTGGGCTGGCGGTGGATGGCAGATTTTGGATGATGTGATATTGCTGGAAATAATCACCCAGAAGAGTAGTTTGGGGAGATGCAGCTGATGGAGGTGGAGGAAAGATATTTGGGGCCAGCAGGAAGTTGGGCTGGTTTTGGGGGGAGAAAGTGGTTTTTCATGGCAAGGGGTTTGCTGAGGTTGAAATGTTTTGTGGAGTGTTTTCCTGAGATGAGCTTGGACACACAGAACTCTATGGCCAGGGGGAGAGAAAGGGAAAACATGAGTTGCTTTTGGTCTTCTGGACATAAATCCCCATGGGAGGTTCCTGGGAAGGACTCGTGGCAGGGGAGAGAAGCAAGGTCTGGTGCAATTGATTTGAGCTCATGCGAAGCCTTGTCAGGGTTTTCATGGAGGTATGTGGTGGCTGGTCATTGCATCTCCAGGGAAGAGGTCCATGAGGTTGGGAGCCAGACCCAGGGACCCAGCACTGTGCCATGGGCACCCCAGGGACCAGACCTCAAGTGGCAGTGGCAGGGCTGAGCAATGTCCCCAGACACTGTGCCTTGGTTGTATGTGGTGGGATGTTGTCTCTAAGGACCTGCAAAGGGACATCCCATGAAGTGGAAGGAACTTCTCCCTCCATCAACAGAGACACTAAACCTGTAGTGCAGGGGCAGAGCTGCCTCCATCAGACAGCAGGCACCACAAAGCCTTGTAGATCCGACCCCAGCCTGACATCCAAAGCTATCCCAGACTCTCACCCAGACCCCTCTCCCAGTGCTCCCAGCAGAAGTACCTCGTCAGGTTTGCTCTGATGTCCTGGAGCCACCCCAGGCACAGGGGACACAGCTCAGCCCCACAGGGACATGCTGCAGCTGCCTCCTGCTCCCTCCAGGTGCTTTCCACCAGCACTTGAAAGGACCTTTCAACAAGTCCCAATCAAAGAGGTGGTGTGGTGAGGAGCGAGCCGCTCTGATGGGAAAACACATCCTGCTGGCCCCACCCCATCCTTGTTTTCCCATTTCTCTGGAGAGGTGACCTGGTAGTGGGCTCAAAGCCAACACAAGTCAACGGTCCTTAAACTGGAAAGAAAAGGTTGTCAAAGATGGGATCACGTCTGGCTTGGGGTGTCCCAGAGCCCCAGAAGGCCAAAGCCCAGGAGAAGGTTCCAGGGAGCTGTTGTCACAGCTTTTCCCTCTTATCCCTCAGCTGAGGGACCTTTGCTCTGTCCCAGGGTGCCTGTTTTTGGGCTCAGTATCCCCAAATATCTCCCAGCTTAGAAATGCAGCCCCCAACACAGGGAAACTGAGGCACTGGGAGCATGAGCCACAGGGCAGGAACAGACCAGTCTCCCACCAGCCACGATAGATGGGACCTGTGGAAACCACAGGGTGATGGGACCTGTTGAGACCACAGGGTGCTGGCACCTGGGATTTTAGGAAAGATCCCACAGCCACAAGCTGTGAGATGCTGCCAGTGGTGCTGAGCAGCCCCAGTACTGGGACCAGGTCTCCTCTGCTACTGGGACCAGTAGCAGGGCTTGGATAAACCCACAGTCCCCTGCTCCCAGCTTGCTCCCCTGTGAGGAAGGATTTCTTTCAGGCTCAGAAATACCATCAGGGGGGCACGAGCCACCCCTGCCCCACAGCCTTTTGCAGTGGAGGGGCTACTCTGGGGATACACCACAGGGAAAACCAGTCCAGGAACACTCCTTTACTGGTCAATCCTCTGGGGAGGGTTTGTTGAGCCCCAGCAACTATAGCAACGAGTCCTGCTGCAGCTCTGCTCGCCCCAGCGCCCTTGTACCTGTCCCAGCCATGGAGGTGGGGGCAGCAGGGGACAACCATGGGGTCTGGGGGGACACCCCAGCAGGGACCTACATCATCCCGCACGAGGTAAGCCCTGGAGAGCAGCTCTGTCTCTGGATTTGTGGGACAATCAGGGCTCAGGAGGGTAGGGGAAAGAAAAATCACAGAATCATTAAGGTTGGAAAAGATCTCCAAGATCATCAGGTCCAAACATCAACCCAACACCACCATGGCCCACTAAACCATGTCCTGAGATGGGATGGGGTTGGGGTTTTGGGTGGGCACTGGGGTCTGAGGCAGCAAAGTAAATTCTTTACTGAAAGTAAATTCTTTGGTGTGAAGGTGGTGAGACAGTGTCCCAGGTTGGCCAGAGAAGCTGTGGCTGCTCCTCCCTGGAAGTGTTGAAGGCCAGGCTGGATGAGGCTTTGAGCAACCTGGTCTAGTGGAAGGTGTCCCTGCTGCTGGCAGGGGGGTTGGGACTGGATGAGCTTTAAGGTCCCTTCCCACCCAAACCAGTCTGGGGTTCTGTGATTCTAAAGCTGCTCTTTGCAAAATGCCTCCCTGCTCCCTGCAGACCCTGGAGAAGGTCACTTCTGCATGGGGACATGTCCCCAGGGGTTGGGACTTGCTAGGAGTACAATTCATCCAGGCACCCCTGGAAAGATGGGGGTCAGTGCAAACCACCCACTCCTCCAAGGCTCCCATCCTGCTCCCCCCAGGGCCAGGGAGAAGGGTCACTCCTGCCACCAGCTCCTCTCCCCTCTCCTCCTCCACTGTCACACTAACAGGACACAATTAAAGCAGGACTGGGACATCCCTGGGGTTCTCCTTCCCCTCCTGCCTTTCAGCTCCAACCCCAGCCATCTCCCCATGGGGCTGTGCCGGTGTCCCAGCAGCCAGCGATGATCCTCCAGCAGCTTCCCAGGACCGTGGCTGCCCTGGTCCCCCCCGCCGGACCCCCACACGTCCGGGGAGGTGCGTGACAGTAGATATTGTAGAGGTCAGCGTGAAAACCAGCTTAACTTCATCCTCTTCTTTTTTTCCCCAGCCTCTTCAGGATGATGGACAGGCTGGTCACACCATGCTTTGATGGTTGCTTTACCCCATGGGATGCAGTTTTTTGGTGGTTTTACCAACCTTGGAGTCTGGTTTTGGCCACACCAGGATGCTCCTGGGAATGGTTTTGGGTTGGTTTTTGAAATCTATCTCTCTTTGTTCTCCAAAACCCCATTTCATATGGGTGTGGGGAGCAGCACCAGGGAAAGTTGGGGTGATACAGGATCATGCCAGGTGGGATTGGAGGGAGAGATGTGCCAGCCCCAGAGCCCGTGGGATGCGGAGGCAGGAGCAAAGACCAACTAGAGGGTCTTCACCCAACATTGTGCAACCCAGGGTCCAGCAATCTGGGCTGGGGGAGCAGACAGCAAAGGTGAGGAGGGGGCTTGTGGTCCCAAGGACCTGCCATGGGTGACGGGGAGAAGGTTGAGCTGTCTTTAAACATACACAGAGGAAAGGTCACCCTCAAAATTGTTGTGGGAGGAAAATGGAGCCCCCAGCCCGGCCCCTGGCAGCTCTGTGGTGGGGACTGGATGTTTTTCCAGTGAGATGGGTGAGATCAATTAAGAGCCACCAGCCCTTCCCCTGCTTTCTCCTCCTGGTTCAATGCCTGGCTGCTGGCCCACTCCCTCCTCGCCACTCCAGCTCCAGCTCCGGCCACCTCCCGGGTTGTGCTGTGATGCTCCTCACTGGAGGGTTGGCTACTTCATGGATACCCTGGGAGCCCATCCCTGCAGCCAGGAAAACATCTCGGGATCTGGCATGTGGGACCTGGGGATGTCCAAACTCCCTTTTCCCCCAGGGATCCAGATAACGGGGGCTCATGGATCTCATCCACAGGGCTGGTCAGGATCTCAGAGGGTTTACAGGCATCTTGCAGGGGAACTCCATTGCCTGCAGCCAATGGGAATGTTTTAATGGGGATGATGTTTTAATGGGGATGCAGAGCCAGACATCGTGCTTCTGCATCCAGATTGCCCTCAGCAGCCACACTGCAGCTTGGGCATCCAGCCAGGGGTACTGAGATGCTCACCTGTACGTGCATGACCACTCTGATCCCAGCTCCTCGTATGGAGCCAGGCAGGGGCTGGGGAGGCACCGAGCATCCCCAGTTTGCTCCTCTCTGGGATGCAGTTCCATAGGTGCTCCTGGGAATGGAGATGGGATCAGCCCCCATGCTCCAGCCCCAGCTCCCCCCCCGGGGGTTTTCTCCCCTGTGTGTGACGTGGTGTAAAGCTGAGCTGACCCTGGCGTGTTCTCCATGTGATGCCACCCCGAGGACACTGGCTCTGCTGCCTGGTGCCAAGGCAGAAGCTTGCCAAGCCACCGAGCACTGCCAGGACCATGGCAATTCTCCTCCAAATGGGTGGAAAGTCTGATGCCTCCAGCACCACTAATCACCTTTTGTGAGCAGCCTTCAGCAAGCCAGAGCAGATGTTTAATCACATTTGCAAATAAGAAAAGACTGAAATGTGGCTATTTGAAAGCTTTATCCAAGCAAAATAATTTTTAAGCACCACATGGGCCTTGCAAAGTGGGATGGGGGGGCCGAGTTTGGCTCAGCTCCCATCACTTGGGCATAAGGACAAGCCTTGGTGCCACCCCATCCCAGGTACTCATCCCATGGCTGTGTTTCTCCTGCCCTTGCTCTAATCTCTCCCTGATGCAGAGCTCCTCACTCTCTGGCAGATTTAATCGAGTTGATGATGATTCAAAACTCCCAAATGCATCAGGTGGTGATGAACAGCCTGGCTCTGTCAGCACTGATGTCCTTCGGGTTCGGGCCATCCCCAGCTGCTGGCCAGGTAAGGGGCAGGGATGCTGGGTGGACAAAGGGACCATAGCACCAAAGTGGACCAAAGTGGACCAAAGTGGACCAAGAGGACAAAAGAAATGGGCAAAGGGACCTTTCCAGAGCTGCTCAGGAGAGCGAGTCCTGCTTTGGCACAGCATGGTACCCCTCCAGGCACAGAAGCTGGGTGGTCTCAGCTCAGCTCAGTCCAGGCTTTGCAGCCCTTTGGGGTTTTGGGGCTCTTTGTTCTGGTTTGACCCTCAGCACAGATCACATCCAGGCTGCTGGGAGGTGATTTAGTCCAGCTGGGAAGAGCCAGGACCCTCCCTGTGTGCTGTGGGGAGGGGAGGCTGCAGCGCTGGGCTGAGCACCCTTCATTGGGCAGGATGGTGCTGCGAGGGCTTTCATTTAAAAGTTCATTTGGAACCAAAATCACATGAAACATTTCATCTCCACGGGGGGAAACAAATGCTGCTTCCTCAGCGGGGGTGAGAACAGGGCTGCAGGCAGCAGAGCCAGGACCCTCCCTGTGTGCTGTGGGGAGGGGAGGCTGCAGCGCTGGGCTGAGCACCCTTCATTGGGCAGGATGGTGCTGCGAGGGCTTTCATTTAAAAGTTCATTTGGAACCAAAATCACATGAAACATTTCATCTCCACGGGGGGAAACAAATGCTGCTTCCTCAGCGGGGGTGAGAACAGGGCTGCAGGCAGCTGCCTTGCTCTCTGCCAGCTGGCATCTCCAGGCATGCACCCTCCTGTGCTGCCCACCCAGTGCCCACCAGTTCACCATACTGGCCAAGACTGGACCCTGCCTGTTACATCTCAGTGGATGGATCAAACGGGCTATTCCCAGAGGGTTTTCAGGTCCCATCTGTGGGGCTGCCACCTCCCCATGTCCCCAGCAGCTGGGTTCCCACGCTGGTTGACCACGGGGCTTTGTGTGGGATCAGTCCCACCCAGCTGGACCCTGGGAGAGCCACGCTCTGCTGGTGGCATCACAGCCAAGGCGGCTCCATGGAACTCTGTCACTGGTGCTTTGGGGAGTGGTGTCCTGGGGAGACAGCGTCCAAAAGAGGCCCAGCACAGCTCTGCCTTTTGTTCCTCCCCACAGGCAACAGCGGTGCCTTTGCAGACTGAAGAGGAAGAGGAGGCTGTGGTGTTTCACCATCACTATGTCCCCTACCCTGGTCCTGCTCCTGTCCTGGTGTGGCCAGCCCTGGCACAGGATCGGGGACAAACAGCTGTGCGGTACCTGGGCACGGGCTCATTAGCTGAGGATGAGGAGGTGTGAGTAAGGAGGGTGCTGAGGATGAGGTGTGAGTAAGGAGGGTGCTGAGGATGAGGAGGTGTAAGGAGGGTGCCACATTGTGCCCCCCAGCACAGTGCCTGTCCCTGCAGCCCCTGGTGTAACAGGACCTCCAGCGCAAGCTGGGACACAAGGGACAATGCCAGGCTGGCACTTACTCCCGTCCTTGTTCCTCTGCAGCAGTGCAGTGCCCCCCCCTCCACCCCCCAGTGCTACAGGGACCGTGGGAGCTGATGTCCCACCAGCATCAGGTAAGGACATGAAGAGAACATGGGATTCCCTTCAACAGGGAATATCTCGTCCTCAAGTGTGCATCAACTGGGAAGTCCCCAGTCAAAGGCTGAACCCTCCCTGTTCCCTCCATCCATCCATCCATCAGATCCCAGGGGTGGCCCTTGCGCATCCTCCAGGTCCCCTTTTCTCTCCACAGAGTACTACGACGTAGTGAAGGAGAGGCTGTGAGCTCCAGGCTTCCCAAGGTGGTTTCTCCTGCACGTCCCAGCCCTCAACCCCAGAAGATCCTGCAGGTGCTGAGCATGGGTGCTCCAGGATACCCATAGTTTCAGGGTGGCTTCCTCCCTGCAAACCACCCCAATGCAGGGGATGTCACAAAGCCTGTCACCAACCCAAGGTGACAGCAAGACCCCAAACATGGACAGGCTTTATCTCCAGGTTCTGCAGAGGGCTTGTCCCCAGCGAGTTAGGCGTGACATCCCAGTCCTGGCTGGACAATGTGTCTCTGCCAAGCCCTGAGGACTCTGCAGCACAAGCTGTGCTGTGTCCCCACGGGTGGAGGGGTGGGTAACACCAGCCCAGGTGGTCCTGATCTTCATTAGTCCCTTCAGATCTCAATGCAGCACATTGCCTGTAATTAATTTGCTTTGTTAACAAAGCGCCCTGCTGTCACTAATTAAGCATCTGTAATTACTCAGCCTGCTGGATTCGTGCCTGAGTGTAGGGCTACCTCCAAGCTGAGGGGGGGGGCGTCAGCCCCTTGCACCCAATATTAGGGGTGTAAATGAGTGTCTGATGCTGGGAAATCTGGGAGTGGGATGCTCCTGGATCTGACCTACAGCTTGTTCCTGGTGGGGATGTGGTCAGGGCAGCAGCCTGATAAGGGAGTTGCAGGATGGGTGAGTGTGGGGTCCCCTGGGACTCAGTGTCCCTTCTGCTCTCTGGGAAAAAAAGGGACAGATGCATTTTGGGTGCTGGAAGCTGTCCCCTGCCTCTACTGCCTCCCCAACCCTATTGAATGTGAGCCAGCAGTGAGCCCAGGTGGCCAGGAAGGCCAACAGCATCCTGGCCTGTATCAGGAAGGGTGTGGCCAGTAGGACCAGGGCAGTGATTGTCCGCCTGAACTGGGCACGGGTGAGGCTGCAGCTCGAGTGCTGGGTTCAGTGTTGGGCCCCTGACTCCAAGAAGGACATGGAGGTGCTGGAGCGTGTCCAGAGAAGGGAACGGAGCTGGGGAAGGGTCTGGAGCACAAGTGTGCTGAGTTCCCTTGTGGCTGAGGGAACTGGGGTTGTTGAGCCTGGAGAAAAGGAGGCTGAGGGGAGACCTTGTGGCTCTGTGCAAGTCCCTTGGAGGAGGGTGGAGAGAGGTGGGGGTGGGTCTGTTCAACCAAGGCCCAAGGGACAGGACAAGAGGAAATGGGCTCCAGTTGAGCCCAGGGCAGTTGAGATGGGATGTGAGGAAGAATTTCTTTGCTGCAAGGGTTCTGAGGCATTGGAAGGGGTTGCCCAGGGCAGTGGTGGAGTCCCCATCCCTGGAGGGATTGAAGAGTCGTGTAGACATAGTGCTGAGGGACATGGGTTAGTCGGGGACTGGTCAGTGTTGGGTTCATGATGGGACTCAATGATCTTAAAGGTCTTTTCCATTTGAGGCCATTCTGGGATTCTGTAAGAACTGTGAACTTGGGGTGACAGCCCTGTGCTCACCCCAGTGACGTTACAGGCCAGTTATCAGGAGGCTTTGCCTTAAGAGCAGAGCTTCTAGCAGGAGGCATCAGGGCTGGTGGTCACCCGGAGCTCAGAGCATGCAGAAAGATGGTGCCCAGGCAGTTGCACCTTAAATCCCCTCCTTCCACCCTTATTGGGCATGAGAACTGCCCTGTCTGTCTTCTGGGGTCCATATGGAAAGGAGAGCTCATCCCCCCTGAGCCCAGAACTGAGCTGTGCTCTGGCACAGGCAGAT